TATATTAATGGCAGGGGCTTGACCAGGAGGGTGGAACCAAAAATATACCAAGCCAAAGGATCTTGCTGTTGAGTATATATTAAAGATTAACCTCCTAGTAGTGGCTAATCAAGAAGCTTCATGCTACCTATTAATCTGGATGAAGTAGGTATCCCTCTTCCTTTTCTATGTTGAAAGATGGTTCTGGCCTGGGGCCTTAGCTGTGTCCCAGCCTAAGGCTGCTGGTGCATTTATGTATTTCAGGCAATGCATCTAGTGCTGAACCATGCTTCCTGAATAAAACGTGGCCTTCAGTAGGAGTGGTGGAGAAGGGGTTATGTTGCTTGTATCTAGTAAGAATTAATTCCTTATCTTTAAATCAAAGCAGAATTCTACAGCTGCTTTCCTCTGGTTCTCCAGTGCCAAACCTGTCCTACTGCTCCACAGGAGAAACCATAGCAGCTTGAGAAATTTCTTTTCGGAAGAGAAATTTCTTTTATGAACACTTTCTAGCAAAGTCATGAGTAATTGGGCTTCATAGTTAGGGTGTTTGGAACCAGAGACTTGGGGTTTGGCTTCTGGTTTTGAACATCTGCTTGAGTGTAGCTTTGGCCAAATAACATCACCTGCCTGCCTCATACATTTATCCACTCACTTCAGATGAAGGTGGGGAGGAGGAATAGTTAAAAATACCTACCTCGCAGGAGACAAGTTGTGAGGTGTAATAAATGTCTGTAAAGTGCTTTGGAACCCTTAGGCTTGTAGAAGGACTAAGTATTGTAATTAAATAGCTTCACTCTGTTTGACATGCTATCATTTGTGAAGAATCTCTTCCCACCATTATCACCCTAGCAGGGAAGGATTTAGGCATGGAACAGGTATTCCAATCTCATGTAGAACACTTTGAAATAATGAAAAAATATTTTGGAGATGAATGCATCATTATTATTATTATTATTATTATTATTATTATTTTCTGTAAACTCAAACTGTGCCCTCCCCCTCCTTTTCCTTCAAAGATCCAGATGTCTTGAAATGAAACAGCAAAAACAGAACAAAACCGAGCATTGTGATTGCTGTCGAACCTCTTGGTTAAGTGAATTGTAGGTACTGACCTCTCAGTTATTTAAGTGTTTACTATCTATTTGCTGTAAAGTTTGTATATTTTGTAAAACTTTTTTCTCCTTCCTAAAGAAAAGAAAGTAGATGTCTAAAATGGTTGTACATCGGATTCTTTTATACTCCATTGTTTGGCACAAAAGTGTGTTTTTTTATTTAGAATAATAAAAGTAAAAACTGAAAGAGCCTCCTGTGCTGTTGTTTTTCTTATTTGTAAATTGTGATAGATTCTAACCAAGTGCCTTGGTTTAGCCTAGTGTGAGGCTGAGCACATTCTTTGCCTGCAGGACATCACTAATTCCTTCCCTGGCATTTCCAAGGGTATAGGAAAAGCTGTTATGTGGAGAGCTATTACGCTCAGTCAACAGTCTAAGTTAGACTGAGCAAAGCCGAGTCTTCCCATTGAAGAAAACGTAAAGCAGTTTCCTATAAAAGCAGCAACTTTTATGCCAAGGACTGGGGGAAAGAGTAACTGAGAGAGGAGCCCAGGCCATTCCTTCTGCAGTCTGTGCTATAACATACAGAAGAGATTCCTCTCTGCAGCTCTTTATGTATGATAGAAGGTCCGCTATAGTCTTTTCTGCTTTGGGTTTGGGAATGACAGTCTATTGCACTATTCTTGGAAAAGTTGAGCGCAAAGAAAGTGAGTGAATGATGGAGAGAGAGAGAGAGAGAGAGAGAGAGCCTATGGGTCGAGTCATTTCTGGTTTATTTCTTTAATAATAGCTGGCTTTATTTCACCAGTAGGATAAATGCAATGAGTAAAAGCAAGCATATCAAGACCTGGAAGAATGTCTTCTATTCATTTTCTAGTAACTGATTACTTCATGGCTGTTTAATATTTGTTCTCCTTTAACCTCTTGTCCATATCTTGAACTTTGCCAGGAACCTTGGTTTTTATAGAAATCAGAATCATATTGGATAAAAAAGTGCTGAGTGCACTTTGGTTAACACATTCTTTTCTATTTGGCCTTGGTCTCCTGGATGTTCCTTAGAGTAACACTCAAACATGATGGCACATGACGAGAAGTCTTGAAATCACATGATCCACATGCCATGTATTTATGAAGGACTGTATGGTAGAAAAATCAAAGCCTGTTCACTACTCTGGTATATGGCTTCCCCAAAACAAATCTCACATATGAGATTTACCATCTACCATCACAGGTGAGGATTCAGCTTTTGACATTTGATTACATTCCAAGCTTTTTGAGTTATGAAATCCTAGGTTCTGCAAATTGTCTCTGGGAGACTTCATTTTGCTTTACAGCTTTACATGGCACTATCGGAACAGCAACATTAGCCAGCACTTTTATTTGAAGTAAGTGCACATCCCCACTGCTGGTCCCATTTAGGAACTGAGCATTTTAAATTCTAAGGATATCTAAGGAAGCTGCAAATTATACAGACAGAGTTGGCTTTTTGGGGGAGGGGGTAAATGGGGGCATTCCCATGGAGGCAATCACCATATTGTGGCTTGGTGCTTAAGTACTTATAGGACTGCCTACTCCAAGCGGATTCAACACCACTGAGGAAGCGGCTGCTTGTAATATTCCACTTTTGTGAAGTGAAAGAGCTGAGGCTAGAAGACAATCTAGCTGGCCTCTAGAAATTGGGCTGTCTCTCTCTTGGTGGCATTCCCTAAGCTGCTACAGACTGAGCTACTCCAGAGACTTTTTAGGGAATGATTGTGGTTGTTGCTACTTGGATATGTCCCTTTTTTTTCATTATTAGATACTAGAATGATTACTTTTAACTATTGTGTTTTAATGGTTTATTATTTGCTGGATGTTTCCACTTCAGTATATTGGAAGCTGCCATGAGTCGTGAGGATTCAGCAGCATACAAATGATCTGTAAATATAGGCATACATACACATACTGGATTGTTCCTACAAATGAACCAGTGATTATCTTAAAAGAGAGAGCAGTGTGTCTGTGGAAGAGGATGGGGGTCAGAATATACAGTGGTACCTCGGTTCACAAACGCTTCTGTTCACGACCAATTCGGTTCGCGACCAGCACCGTTCGCAAAATTTTGCTTCCGTCTGCGAACTCCACATCAGGTGACGAACAGGATCCGTGGCCATTTTCCCTGCCGTGACACGTGGTCGTGGCTTCCTGTAGGGAG